ATGTATAGTATTTATATCTGCTCCAATATTTGCACAACATCTGTATAATGTACTGCTCAGCGTTACTGTTTTCGTCCTGTCTTGTCTGTCATGTCCTATATGCACTAACCACACTTTACTTTCTTATGCTTATTCTTTATTAATTTTAGTTTATCTTATTTCATTCTCTAAAGTTTTATAAGAGCGCACAGTCCTGCGTTATGTTTTCAATTTCAGTTGTTTGATGTAGCACCTTGGTCCTAGAGGAGCATTATTTCGTTTCACTGTGTACTGCACTGTATATTGTTTAAATGACAATAAAGCCAAATTGACTTGACTTGATATGGGTTGAATTTAAACAAATTTAATTTAGTAATGCTCTTCTTTGTTTAAATTCAGCCCAAATAAATTGTATATGTTGTGTATACGCAATGCAAAACAGCCTAATAATGCAAATAGCCATAATTACTTAAAAATACGCATCAATCTTAAGGTTATTTAGATTCTATAATTTGATAAAAAGGTAAATGTCCTATTATATACACTATTAAATGTCCTATTGGGTAAATGTCCTATTATATACACTATTAAATGTCCTATTAGGTAAATGTCCTATTACATTTACTATTAAATGTCCTATTAGGTAAATGTTCTATTATATATACTATTAAATGTCCTATTGGGTAAATGTCTTATTATATATACTATTAAATGTCCTATTATATACACTATTAAATGTCCTATTGGGTAAATGTCCTATTACATTTACTATTAAATGTCCTTTTGGGTAAATGTCTTATATATACTATTAAATGTCCTATTATATACACTATTAAATATCCTATTAGGTAAAAGTCCTATTATATACACTATTAAAAGTATTATTAGGTAAATGTCCTATTATATATATATATAACTGAAACCAGTGAGTTAGAATGTAAATGTCATTGTAAAATGGCTTCAAGGCCATTTGTGCATTTGGAAATATATATTGCAACACCAAAAATTATTAAGGTCATCTCCAAGTATTGCACGATAAGTCAATATATTAATAATTGTGACAGGCTTATGTGGAGTAAAACAGCAGATTTTAGTGTAGTATAAATACATTTACTATGTTCTGAGGGGCTTATTTTTGTTATAATGGAGGTCAATGGGGCAAAAACAGCCACCAACATAACGAAAGGGTAGTCGATTTGAGGGTATTGTTGAGGTTTTTAAAAATGTCAAAGCATTTTCACAAAATATGTGTCAAAATTAGATTTGCCACCAAAAATCCTACCATTTGCTCAAACACAGAGAAAGTTGTGGCCAGATTAAGCCTCAAAATCATCCTAGAGTGGATGAAAAGGTCCCCGACAGCACACAAGGCTTAAGAAATGCAAGCAAGTTGTAAAATTGGCGCACCTGGCTGGCGTGTACCTGGCTGCAAATGTAATAAAAGCTGTCTGTATTTGGTGACGCTCAGATTAATGCTGTGGAAATGGAACAGATGGAGGAAAATGAGACCTGCGAGACCCCTATGGTGCCTGGGCTCATCTCTCGTCTCAGACAGTCTGGTGTTCGTGCAGAATCACGTAAATCCAATCAAAAATCAATATCAGGCCGGGACGCTGTGAGTCATGCTCTAAATGGCCTTTGAGTCCAGATATAAATATATATATATTTTTGGAAGCTATCTTTACTATGATGAACTCTAACACACTATTAAATCCCGGATTTAAAAAGGATCCTAATTAGTTCCTGTTAGGTTCCTTTATAAAGCAAAATACATTTTATAAATACATAGCAATGAAGAAAATGCTCAAATGTGTTTTGAGTATCGTGTTTTTATTCTGTAACCAAATGAAGAAACTTCTTTTAAACTTTAATGTTATAATTTAGAGACATTTTTGCACATAATAAATAATATTTTTAATTATGTTTTAATATTTTATTAAAGTTGCAATCTGAATAAATATAAATTAAATAACATAAATAGATGGTCTAGACATGCTTATGTTTATTTTTAGACAACAAAAAACTTTGTTTTGTCTTCATAGGAGTTTAGAAATTAATATATGGTGGAATAACCCTCATGGCAGGCGCAACAAATAGAAATTTACACTAGCCAATTGTCATTTTATATTGTAAAACTGCTGTAAATTACAATATTTCTAAAACAAAACTGGTAACACTAATTTAGGTAACAATTCACGTTATTAAAGGTGTAAACCTACATTGGTCTCCGATTATCATGCCATCAATTTGGTTCAATTTGATTTCTCGGTGCATCGACAATGCTTTCCATAAACAATTTTATATTAACTTCACAAAACAGCAATTCTTGTATTACAATTTATAAATATATTTGTATACTATTTGTAATACAATTGTGTCCTTTAATGCAAACAGTCAGATATATAAACTGTACCTTTAAAAACTCAAGCACATGCACTGAACAACAGCAAATAAACATATGTAAATATCCCGCTCCCTTTCTGAGCCTTGTTCTTTCTGGTTGGTCAAACTCTCAACAGAAAGGGCGGCAATAGGCTCTAACGCTCTGGCGCTGTTCACTGATAAGTGACACTGAAAAACGGCAGCGGCAATCACAGCTGATCTATGATAGGCGCGAAGAAGAAAACCCACTTAGCCGAGGAGAGGAAACGTCACGACAGCAGGTAGTTGGAGCGTTGTAAATACTCGCACTCACCTCCCTCGCCAAAGTAAGCTACGGTGACACAGCGCATATGAGATAAATGACGTCAGTACATAATAACCGGTTAGGATTATTACTAAACCAATACTGAATTATCCACATTTAAGGCAATCCGCGTTTTAGTGTATTACAGTAGGAGAAGCCCTGAGTGAGGTACTGTGCATGTCAGATACTCGGGAGAGCAAAATCTGAGAGAGAGAAAAAGTTGTGCATAAAAATTATACAGCTTTCCTTTGGCTTAATCCAGGGGTTTCCAAACTCGGTCCTGAAGGGCCGGTGTCCTGCAAGGTTTAGCTCCAACTTCCTTAAACACACCTGCCTGGAAGATTTTAGTATACATAGAAAGAGTTGGATTAGCTGGTTCAGGTGTGTTTGATTGGGGTTGGAACTAAAATATGCAGGACACCGGCCCTCCAGGACTGAGTTTGGACACCCCTGGCTTAATCCCTACCGTTTTACATCTGTTTTAGATCTTGTCTTGACACGAGACCAAAATAAAGAAGCTGTATTTTTATGATTTGTGCCCTTGCTGTCATTGTGTCAGATTGCACACCTAACATAGTAGGCTACCTAATATAATAAGTAAGATATGTCTATTAGTCTCACGTTTCGGTTATGATTATTAGCCATTGATTCGGTTCAATTTGATATTACGGTGCATCACGGCGCATTGACGGTTCTTTTCATACACAGTTTCATATTTTCTTCACAGCAGCAGTTCTTGTATTAAAATGTATTAATTTATATATGTATATTTATATGCTATTTCTAATACAATTTTGTCATTTAATACAAACAGTTAGATAAACTGTACCTTTAAAAACAATATGAGCATTTAGCAAATAATATAAACAAATATAAATATACAGCTCACTTTCCGATCCTTGTCTAGTTCTCTTACACCACTTTGATTGGTCACACCCTCAACAAAAACGGTTGCGATTGGCTCTTGCGCTCTTCACACTGATAAGCGGCAGGCGGCAGCGGCGATCACAGCTGATGCAAGATAGACGCGGTGGAGAAAACACTGCAGATACCCGCTCGTTTCTGTATTCAGAAGTAACGGTGTAAAACAGCCGAGAGGAGAAGAAAAGCCATGCCAGCAGGTCAAATAGGCCACAGTGTGTGTGTTGGAAAGAGAGAGAGAGAGAAATGGAGTACTTTCATTCTCTCGATCTCAGTGAAAAAGGGGCTTTTGCTGTTAATGTCAGTGAAAGACTGATCCAGCAAACACACACAGTGAAATTGTGCACAGTTTATGAGTTTAGTAGTTAGAGCGTTGTAAATACTCGTGCTCGCCTCCCTCGCGACAGAGCGCATATGAGGTAAATGACGTCAGTAATAACTGGTTATGATTATTACAAAACCAATACCAAAATGTCTGCGTCTGTATCGCGGTGCACCGAAGAAGCGATTAATTTTGACACCCCTAATGTCTATATATTTAAATGGCACAATTGTCCGCAAATTTCTGGGAATTACCACCACAAAATCAGTCATTTTTAATCAAAAAATAATAATAATTCGGCGAAAAACTAGGGAGTCTGATTAGTAATTAAGGTAGCTGTAAGGTTTAGGTTTTGGCTATGTAAAATAAGATCATACCTTATAGCTACTAACACACAGTCAATATCTTATTAATAGGCAGGTAATGAGCCAGCAGTTAATAGCGTGAATTATGACAACTAAACCGTTACCAATTATGTAAATAAATGTCATCAGACATGTACAAAACAAAAATAGAGATTAACATCTTAATCCAATACCTAATAATTCCAGTAATGAATTTTTAAGTGGTCTCTTAATTATATTTAGTGTAATTTCAGACATTCAGTGTAAACTTTACACTACAGATGTCATAAATAAACTATATTTCATAAAATATTCTGCTAAATCAAAAGGAAAAGGCATCAAGCATCACTATGGCATGTGGGTAGATTACTTATGTAAACACTACGCAATTGGCAATTGCTAAAAAAGCAAGAAAACCAAATCACCACACAAGAACGACAAACAAAACATGATCCCAACACTAATTCTGATCACACAACATTTGGCGAATAAAGATCAAACTAACAGCCCGTATGTCACTTCCTCTGAACAAGCACAGGCGAATGCTGTTTTGGTCTGAAGTGAGTCAGTGAAATCAGCAGCTGTACGCCTCAGATCTCAGAGATTTTATCACATTCTGCGCATGTTTTTATAAGCGATAAAGCACAAGCTACCTTTGTGACAAGAATAACACTCCAGTTTGAGCAAACAATTAGGAGATTTAACCAGCCCCCACCAAAAAATGATATAATCTTTAAACAGGACTTACTCTGATCGCCGCCGAGCTTCCATGCCATCTGGTAAGAAGAGCTTGATGGTGGACACTATACAGCCATGTGTGACTAAAAACAAGAAGAGAAAACAGGACATAGTTTAAGGATCTACAAAAACAAAGATGATTTATTTTCATATCAATACAAATCTGATATTCCAGGTGCACAATAAAATGATATCCCCTACGAATCTAATGGCTTAAATTAAAAGTGATCATGAAAAATATTAAGAGACTGATAATAATTCCTGGTGTTGTGACGAGATGCATTGCGAAACAATACAAAACATTACACACACAACTGTGAAAAAAGTTCCCAAAGAAAAAAGGGAAGCTCATTTTAATACCCCGCCACTTAAAGCAAAGCAATCCTAACAGGTTTTATTCTTCATGTGTACTTTCGTTCTGTTGTGAATTCATGTTTGCCTTCATTTGTTCGAAAAGGGTGTTGCTTTGCATGTGTGTTTGATTATGAAAGCATCCCATTGCATGTATTCTAGTTGCGACACACACAGAACAGAAATCAACCAGCGACTTTGGGTTTCAAAAGTGTGTCTCTGCGTTATAACATCTTGGCGGCTTGCAGTTAACACAGTTTTGTCCACATAATGAGTCACACCTCACTATAAGTAGCAGATAGAGAGAAAGAGAGAAAACATATAGTTTGCACTCAATAAATACATTGCTATTCATCTGCTCTAAGTGATCGAGTGAATCATTTATTCAAGTGAATCATTTAAATTCATTTGTTTATTTATTCATTTTTCTTCAGCTTAGTCACTAATTTATCAAGAGTCACCACAGCAGAATGAACCGCCAACTATTCATGCATATGTTTTACGCAGTGGATGCACTTCCAATCGCAAACCAGTACTGCGAAACAACCATACACACACACACACATACGCACACGCACACACACACAGACACACACACACACACACACACACACACACACACACACACACACAAATACAGTAAGGGATATTTTGTTTACCTATTTACCTATGTTGTATGTCTTTATGTTGATTGTAGGGGAAACAGAATCACCCGGAGGAAACCAGGGAGAACATGCAAACTCTATACAGAAATGACAACTAGCCCAGCCGGGACTCGAATCAGCGACCTTCTTACAGTGAGGCGACAGTGCCAACCACTAATCCAGCATGCCGCCAGATCATTTAAATTAGATGATTCATTTACAATCTGTTCAAATGACTGTCTTTACAAATTAATCATTGATCAATCGGATCCATCAGAAAACCGTACATGAATATTTTTTGCTTTCATAACTTCCAATAGTCTTCATCACAGTAGGTGCTTTTGGACTCTCAAGATGTTTTTAGTTATAAAATGAGGGATACAGTTCATAATCTCAGCTCACAGGATGTAAAAAAAACAATTATGATCAAAGATATTCATTATATTGCATATTAAGATGGGTATAGTTAAGGTCTTATTGATACTGACACCACTTCTCATTGATACTATTATTAATGCTGCTTTCTATAATTTGATGCAAAAAGCCAAAAATGAGTTAAAGTTCATTTTAAATTTCAACTTTTTTTTATTACTGCTTAACTTTCCAGCAGTTTACAAATATCGGTTTAAGCAAAGGTGAATAAAGCATGAATCGATAAATCAATATGGTGCTTGGCTTGAGTTGGAATGCATATTTTTAGTAAATGTTTGGTTCCGTTACTAATATAGCAAAACAGTTTCATAGTTAGAAAGAAATATGTATACATCCACACCTACAGTTATCAAAATTATTAGCCCTCCTGTGAAATTTTAATTCATTACACATATTCACCAAGTGTTGCTTAATGACAAGATTTTGTTCAACACATTTTTAAACGTAACAGTTTTAAGAACTGATTTATAATAACTAATTTCTTTCAATTTTGCCAAGATGACAGTACTTGCTATTTGACAAGATATACTACTATTTAACTTAAAGTGCAATTTAAAAAGGTTTAAGTGGGTTAACTAGGCAAGTTATTGGACAACTGTTTTTTTCTGTAAACAATGTATAAAATATATATATGAATATATAGGGAGCGAATAATACTGACTAGAGCTGCACAATATATTGTTTCAGCATTGATATTGCAATGTGTGCATCCGCAATAGTCACATCACAGAACATGCGGCATGGGATTATCACTGATTATAATCCATGCAGGATTTAACCATAATGGAGTAAAACTTTATCATCTCACATGCGTTTTTAAAGTGATAGTTCACCCAAAAATGAAACTGTTCTTCCTATTTTCATTTCACCTTTCACTTGTTTCAAGCGTTGATAAAGTTTTTATTTAATGCTGAACACAAAAAGAAGATATTTTAATAACTCAAATTGTTTGAAACGACAGAAGAGTGAGTAAATAGTGAGTAAGCTTTCTTTTTTGGGAACTATCACCTTAAAGCATGTTACTATAAGAACATTTCAATATTTTAGGTTAAAACATCTGGACACAAGATAATGTTTGACACTTTAATAAAGATTACATTATATAAAATAAAGACTATGCTTCGTTGATTATTCAATATCTGTACCTGAATACTGTTAGAATCTCAAATAAAGCTGATTAGAGATAATAAATAAAACTTTTGTCTCTGCTATAGTGTATTTATCTATCTTAGACTTCTTCCCAAATAAAGCTGTTTAAGCCATCTGGTAAATTTGCATTCATATTGCACAAATATAAAATATCACAATGTCAGGTCTTTCCAATATTGTGCAGTAATAATACTGACCAGACCATTACATAAAAAAAAAAAAATAATTATATATATATATATATATATATATATATATATATATATATATATATACACACACACATTTATATATATATATAGACACACACATATATATATATATATATATATATATATATATATATATATATATATATATATATATATATATATATATATATATATATATATATATATATATATAATTATTTTTTATTATTATTAATTAATAATTTTAAATTATAATATTAAATTATTAATATTATTAATAATTTTTTAATTATTATTAATAATTATTTATATATATATATATATATATATATATATATATATATATATATATTCATTTTAGAAAATATTAAGAAAACGTCACAGAATCACAAAATTCACAGAAGGGCTAATCATGTTCATTACAGTCAAACAGCAAACAGTGGCACGCATCACTGCTGCAACTAGCACTGACAGCCTTTCTCCCTCACCTTTGCGGGTGTTTTCAGTCACATCCACCCCGAACTGAATGATGTCACCGGAGAGCACCTCACAGGGCGGACTCTCCTCTGACCCGCGGCTCAGACGCTGGCTGTTGATGAAGGTCCCATTGCTGCTTTTGGTGTCCTGGAGATAAAACTGTAAACAGAGAAGAAACAGAAATATTACAGATACATCAAAATAAAGCAAGACATTGAAGTATGCAGGAAAAGTAAAAATAGCAAGTACTAAAACTAAAATTGCATTGACTAAGAGGTGAAACCATTCATGTTGCAGTTCTCTGGGGTCGAAAGTTTCAGTGTTAAAATCGTGGTTTTAACAGATCTCTAATTCTCTGTCTGACTGTCTAAAAAGACAGTCAGACAGTTACAGCTCATCCAGAACGCTGCTGCCAGGATTCTGACCAGAACCAGGAAATCAGAGCACATCACACCAGTCCTCAGTTTTTTATACTGGTTCCCAGTTTCATTCAGAATAGATTTTAAAATTTAATTTCTGGTCTATAAATCACTAAATGGCCTAGGACCTCAATAGATTAAAGATACGCTCACTGAATACAAACCCAACAGATCACTCAGATCTCTAGGATCAAATAAACTAGAATTTCCAAGAGTTTCGTCAAAGCTGGGTAAATCAGCTTTCAGCCACTATGCCCCTCACTGCTGGAATCAGCTTCCAGAAATGATCAGATGTGCTCCAACATTAGGCACATTCACGTCAAGACTGAAAACACATCTGTTTAGCTGTGCCTTAACTGAATGAGCACTGTGCTACGTCCGACAGATTGCACTATTGTGTCTTTCTCTTCTCTTTCATTCTTTTATATCACATTTTATCTGTTTGTTTTATTTAATCATTTTTATTATTTGTTTTTATTTTTCTGATACTTGCTTCCTTTGTTACTGTTTACGTAAAGCACTTTGAATTACCACTGTGTATAAAATGTGCTATATAAATAAACTTGCCTTGCCTAAGGCAAATAGGAAGGAAATAATTGATCTAAACTGGAATTTCTCACTCAAAACAGCTTCAAAAGTATTTTTAAAAAGTGTTAAGCAATTGCAATTAAGCTAAAATAGATTGTCAAATTGAGTCCTGACAGTAATAAAAAAAGATGGTGTAAAAATAAAAAGACAAAAGCACACATTAAAACAGATTATGAAGATAATTACCTAGATTAAAGCTAGATAAATGACAAATAATACAAATTAAATCTACAAAATCACAAAATAAATTTAATTGAACTGCAATTTAAATAAAAAAAATTAATTAAAAAATATTTTTTCAATCCAGAGCAATAATAAAACTAATAAAACAATAAAAAGCTTCAGTTAATAAAAATACAAAGCACATAAATTAACCTAAAAAAGTAAATAGCTATATAACTATATATACTAAATAAATCAGGTGTTTACTTTGAAACTGGTTACTAGAAAATATTTTAGCTCAAAGCATGTAAACGTATTAAAACTAAAATAATTTTTATAAATGAATTTTAAAAATTGTAAATAATTCAGTTATAATTTTTTACCCAATTATAAAAAAGAAAAATATTATAATTAATTATTATAACTATAAAATAATAATACAATTTCTTAAGAAATATGCAATAAATTATTTGTCATTTTTATTTGTGTCAGTATGTCCTTGTCATTATTCTTCAGTTTTTCCCTTTTACTGACAATATTGTTGTTATGGCTGGCGCTATTATTAATACTATTATTTAACAACTTGTATATTGGTTTATATATGTATATCTACACATTTTGTTTTATGCTAATTGTCTTCGGCATGTTTTTCTGTGTTCAAGAAATACAAAATAAAAGAAAAATTTGATGAAAAAAAAAAATTATGCAATAAAATCCGGAAAAAAAAAAGAAAAAAAAGAGCTATGGAGACATGATAAACTTTTTAAAACAGATACAGAATATGACGACTGAAAGCTACAACACATACAAAATATAACAAATAACAATATACATATATATAACCCACAGGAAAAATGTAAATGCATAAATCTGTGATCAAGCTACCGCAATACAAGCTGACTCAGAGCCAGACTTCATGCTGAAGATACAAATTATCTGCTGAAAATACCAATAAAGTCTGAACAGACAAGACTTGAATTCATTTACTCTTCCATATTCAACATCCCTGACCACTGTAAGCAACACAAATAATAAAAACAGGCATCAAGGTCTGAAGACCAAGCTTGGTGCGTAATACATTTTCCTCACCAAAGTAATTGTTTCATGCAGTCTGTTGAACTCGCTTCATTCAGAATAAATGCTGCCGAATTTCCTCGCTCAGCTGGATGAATAGAGTCACTGTCAAACGCGACTACATTACGAGTGACATTCATTATTTCCGCCAACACAGCGCCAGCATCCCACAGCGAGCATTACTGTGTGGGCTTCACTGATAATAACAGGTTCATCAGGTTAAGTCAGAGGACGAATGTCGTCTCCTTTAAGATCAAGGTTGTACAAGAACCACAAATCTGTAGGCCTTCCACTATACATAACTGTTGTGCGATATATTGTCAGAAACATTATTGAGAAGAGATATTATTGTCAATTTATGCTATTGATTTCAGCATAATAATGCAAATAAGCATTTAAAAACGACAGAAAAAATAAATAGCACTCAAAGCACTCACATTTGTTACTGCTCGTTTAAACTATAGGGTCAGGCCAGGACACCGGGGTTACACCCCTGCTCTTTACGAGAAGTGCCATGGGATTTTTAATGACCACAGAGAGACTGGACCTCATTTAACTTCTCATCTAAAAGATGTTGCTCACTAGCTGCAAACTGTTTCAAATTTATATTAAACTTTCATTTTTCAAAAGCCTCTTTGAAAAAAAAGATTTTCTAAAAAATAAATAAATAAATAAACACCGGAAAATGTTTTAAATATTATTTATAAAGTATTTGGATACGATGAAATTAATCAAATCATGCAAACAGAGCATTTTCGGGGTGAGTGAACGCAGAAATAGGCGACCTTTTTTTCTGTCTGCAGCTGCGCAGCACTTTTTTAGACGGGGAAAACTGCAAGTTCAAATGTGTTCTGTGTCCTCAAACAAGTGTGTATGTTTTTAAATAACGTGGTAAAATTAAAAAAGGAAATTTAAAATACATAAAGAGCTTTATTAGTGCATTGCTGCTGAGCGCAACGAAATATAGGCAATATTTTATTACGTGCTGCTCTTATGTGCTGAAACACTGAACACTTTCTTTTACTTAAGATATAATAAGCAACATCTTTAAATAAAGGGAATCACCTATTAAGTGTCATAAAGCCTATAGGGGGAAAAAATCATGTTTCAGTTCTCTCCGGAGCATTTGGGATGAATGTTGGACAGGGTCTGTCTAGAGGATGTTATAAAATACATTTTATATCGAGTTATTAACGGAGAATTTTACATATGTGGTTTTATATTATGGATGTGTGCGCTCCCTGTGCTGGGTCCCTCCGTTGGTGGCAAGACCACTGGATTTCGATGCCAGTCGGTCGGCGAGTAAATGAATATGATGAATGAAAACACACAGGCATGTGCGTATAGACATGCGTTGTACTGCTGTACAGTAACGTGTCATTTGTTTGTTTTGGTTGTCCTAATTTTAATAGTTTCGTGACGATGTGCTTTATCTGCATGATTCTCGCTGAAGTGGGCGGTTTGAGTGACGTTCGATTCGGGTTATGTTCTGGGGGCGGGGTTTGCTGACGCGCTGCAAGCTACTAGCCCCACAGTGGAAACGCGACATGATTTCGGCCTCACTGCTCAACCTCCTGGGCGATTGGCCCGGCCTGGCCCGATATAAGCCCTGGCTCGCACTGGCCTGATAGTGGAAATGCGGCTACTGATAGTATAGTGTCCCATTTACTTTTACTGGGGCATAAGGACTCACACAGACCGCAGTTTGAGCGCCCCCTGCTGGCCTCACTAACACCACTTTTGGCAGCAGCCTAGTTTTCCCATGTGGTCTCCCATTCAGGTACTAACCTGAATGGGTTCTGTGTGGTCTAGGGTGCTGTAATTAATTTTGTTGGTTCCTGCACATGCCTGTTATCATGAGAAAAAAGCAAAATGTCTCCACCATAATCTATGCAAAAGTTATTTTATTCCAACTGATGAGAGGTGCTGTACAAGCCACAGGGAGCGATCACTGTTTTCATATTTCACTATTCTTTTGTTTGATCAAACATAATTTGCTGTGTTTGGACCACATCAGACATATAAAAGGATTACTTATGCACATCACCTCAAAAATAGAGGAGAATGGCCATGAAGCACACAGCATAAGGTAAGAGATGACAGCTGTCTGTGCTATCTGGGGCTGCTTATTGATCATAAATGTATTGTTTTCACTTTTGCGCCAAGGAAACACCGAGATTCATTCGGTAACTGTTTGATATGTGAATATAATTCAGTTAAAAGAATGCTAGAACTGTATTAGCACCGGCAAGAGCTTTCATTTGAGCTATAATTTGTACATGTGTCATTTGAAAAATGAACCAATGTTTAATACCCAGCTCGGGATTCCAAAATACTGTGTATTTAAGTGTCAATTACTTTTGTACAGTAGAATTTAAACCAAAGTGATGCATATGTGCATAAAATATAGATTCTACACTTTCAAACAAAACCACTTACGGGGATTTGGTGCAATGCTGGCCCTTTAAATCTTAAAGCGAAAGTCGATGACGTAACAGACCAGGTACCGGGTCCGCAGAGTTTAACTGGTCAAGTTAGAAGCCTGGATGCTACCAAGAAAAAAAGGTTCATTTCGAGCCCTGTTTACAGTAAGGCATAGTTCAGCACAAAATGAAAATGTACTTCTGTGTGGCTTCTTTATCTGTTGAACACTAAAGAATATATTTAGAAGCTAAAAACCTGTAATCATCGACAATACATCTGTAATGACTGTCTAATAATTGATCATACTATTTAAAAAACTAAATACTATAGAAGTCAATGGTGTTTCGTTTGTGTTCAACAGAAGAACTAAACTAAAACAGGTTTGGAATAAATGAAGAGAGAGTAAATGACTATTTGAATTTTTAGGTGAACTGTCTCTTTAAAACACAAAACCAGTAAGTGTACAAGCAAGTGTGAAAGGATGGAGAAACA